CCCTAAGGGGTGTTCCTCTCTCTTAATATTACGTAATAAACAGCCCTCCATAATGTTAATGACTGATCTTATTCTAATTTTCTGATTTGTTGTAAATTCAGCATACAGGTTACTGTATTACAGATTATTTCAAGTTATTTACGTATATGTCATTGTTTAAAATCCATAACGTAATTTTTATTTATATACAGTATACGTATATACAATGGACTCTTTCGCTTATTTCATTTTTTGTCTTGATACGATAAGTTCTTGTTTCATTATATCTAAACATGATAAACTAGGCCTAAAGATGTTCGTGATTTTTTTTTTTTAAAAAAAAAAAATAGAATAAAATAGATTTATAACAGCAATCTTTTTTTTTTTTAAAGGAGTGAACCAACCAACCAGAGCGCTTTCAATGATGCAAGTATTATACGCTTGAATATTATCATCAGAGTGATTTTTGAAAGAGATACATCAAAAACTAGTGATTTTTGAAAGAGATACATCAAAAACTAAGTCTTCTGAAGAAATACATATGAACATCCTCAGGAAAAAGAGATTCTCATAAAATTCTTACTCGGAGGTATAAATTAGAGCAGATAAAAGGTGCAACACCTATGCTAAATACATTATGAATACATCGTCAATCTAAACTATCCGCAATGTATTGTTGTACCGGATGCGTTCTTCAACATGTTCGAAGTAATTTTGGCAAATGGACATCTGGAAAGAATTAATTGATAAACTTATTCAAGATCTTCAAATTCAAAATTTTTCTATGCTGGGTAAAATGATTGAATGGGTATCTCACGAAAATTTTCTTGATGTTTCGCATAAAGCAACTGGCGGATTTGGAAGAACCGTATATACCGCTAATTGGGTAGGTGGTTATATAATTGAATGGGATGAACATAATCAAAAATTTATAAGATCAGGAACTTGTGCCGTCGCCTTAAAGCCTTTGTATAACTCTAATAATCCAAGTGAAGATTTTTTTAAGGAAGTTAGTGTGTTTCATTCGTTTGTTAAATGTTACTTAAGTGTTAAAGTATTTTATGCTAATTATTATGACATCGTTGATTCATTTAGGTTAGATCCACTTTTATACTTACATCAGAATCTCATTTGTTTGTTCCATTATTATATAGTATAACAAAATCGCCAGATATTGGTGATCATATGTTAATTTTGGATTATATGAAAAGTGGGGATTTGGGATCTTTTTTACGCAAAAAGAAAGGTACTTCTACATGGACGGAAAGATTTAGTTTATTGAGGGATATTTCTCTAGGACTTGAACAAATTCATGAAAATGATCTATTACACAAAGACCTTCATCCTGGAAACATTTTAACAAAAACTGGGAATGAATGGGAAATATGTGATATGGGATTTTGTGGGCCTGCGAATAAAGATTCAGTGAATGAAATTTTTGGAAATTTGCAATATGTAGCCTCTGAAGTTTTGCTCTACAGAAAATACACAGCTGCAGCCGACATATATGGT